AGTTTTCCTTTATAGATAATGAAGAGGTAGCTTGTATCAAACACACTCATTCATAATAGTTACAGCCTTTCATTATATGCAGGTCACAACTCTTCATTAAATAGCTACCAGAAGAGTCAGAACCCAATTCATACGAGAAATTCCCATTATAAAAGTCACAAGTACTAAAAAAAATATATATATATATATATAATAATAATCTGCGTTGCTCATTTCACATTGGTTAGGGGTTTTAAATCCGTTACCAAGTAATCGATGTTGAAAGTATATACAATGAAGATTTTAAGTTGGGTGATTTTTCAAACTGAGATAAAAAGTGTAACCTAAAGGTTTTAACCTGTCATCTATAAACCAACAACGACGATGACCATAGAGCAAATATCATTTGATGGGGGGTGTGGGAAGCGTCGGCAGTTTGATACTCGGTGACTACACAGCCATAACATGGTTCATATGATCTTCATCTTTCTTTTCTGTATTTGCATCAAATCTAAGACTGAGGTTGTTTTGTGCACGTTTAGACTTGGATTCTTGAGCCTTCGTATTTGATTTTTTTTTTTTTCCTTATTGGCCTTGATATTTGATTCTTAAGACTTGATATTGGCCTTCCCGTATTTGTTTTTGTATTTCTTTATTCGTTGTGGTTTGAAATCTGCGTAGATTTAATATTATTTATGATTTTGTTTTGTATTTATAAATTAATAGTCGTTTTGGTTTGAAATCTGCGTAGATTTAATATTATTTATGATTTTGTTTTGTATTTATAAATTTTAAGACATTCAGCGTCCGTCAAACTGCGATTAACGTCATGTTAGAAAAATAGGACAAAATAAAAATCGAAACGAGCAAATCAATGGAATAAGAGACAATAAAAATTAAACTAGTTATAACACAAATTACAATAACAGAATATGAACGCAATAATAAAAATCAGAAGAACGTTGTTGAGTCGAATGGAAACTGAGGCCCATGGCCTGTGTACCGCATGTTGTCCTTAAAATAGAATCGCCTCTAACCATCGGTGCTTCAGGATCCCAAGATACAAGAGTCAACAAGGAATTCCGGTGCACAACAAAGTTTATCCAGCGAACTTAAAGAAGCGTCCAAACTCTATCACTCTGGGAAAGCCTAGACAACTAGAGTAATCTGAAAAGTTTTGAAAATTTTTTAGTGTGTCAAAACATGGAGATGGTAGGCTGTTGGAGCTCTAGACATTCAAATCCAGAATTAATCTCTGATTAATTTTCGCATTTATCCAAGCGTTTTTGGCTGTTACAAAACTAAATTCAATAGCCATTATACATTTTTAATCTAGGGCTTTACTCTGTTTTGGCTGTTACAATAGCAAAACCTGTTAACAATTGTGTCCTAAAAGCATAAGATGTAATAGAATATTTATTATTTATTTAATAAAAGAGTTTATTCATCATTTTATGTGTATATATTTGTGA